GGGCATTGTGTCCCCGGTGAGCTGGGCAGGGGCCATGGTGGCACTGGGTCTCACCAGCCTGGTGCAGCCAGAAGGGCTCCTTGAAGTAGCTGAGTGTGGGCAGTGTATGGGTCTGGGTGACGTTCACCAGCACGGAGATGGCACTGCCAGCCCTGGGCTGGAAGGTGCAGGTGAGGGTGCCCTGTGCCCCCATGCTCACCTCCTCACACTGCTGCCATGTGTCTTCCCTGTGGGAGGAATGGGGAGCCAGTCAGGCCCACCATGACATTCCCACAACCAGCACTCCTCCTGCACTGGCCCAGGGGAGCCGCTGCTGCCTGTGGTCGGAGGCACAACATGGCCAGGAGAGGTGGTGAGGAGGTGTGAGGTCGCTGGTGGTAGGGCAGGACAGAGCAGGGCGTGGGCAGGTGGCCCAGTGTGGGCTGTTGGGACCCAGCAGGATCGGTGGTCCCTGGGATGTCCCCAGCAGCCTGCCATGCCCCTTACCTGGTGCTAGCCCTGCTTGGAGGTGGCCGGTAGAAGAGCTGGTGGGAGCTGTGGGGCTCTGCAGGGTCCCAGCTCCACTCGCAGCGCACATGCAGCAGGTCGGGGGTACTGCAGCACAGCCCGATGTCTCCTGGGCAGGCGAGAGCCAGGGCAGGGAGGGGCTGCTTCCCCTTGGGCCCCCAAAAGGTGGGTGTTGCACCTCACCTGCCCCAAGACCCCTGCCCCCCGCAGCCCCAGGCGTGGGTGCCTCCCCGCTGTTCCTGCCAGCCCCCTGCAGAGGGKATGGCTGCTCACCGGAGGAGCGGGGTGTCTCTGCAGTCACTGCCTGAGACCAGGGCCCCCAGACGCCGTCCATGGAGATGCCATCGGGCTTGCTGCGCACTCGGATGTGGTACCTCACCCCTGGCTGCAGGTCCCGGAGGACTACCCAGGTATCAGCCTGGACCAGCCCCTGTAGGAGAGGGGCCAGATTGAGGAGCAACTGCAGCCCCCAAATCCCCCTGCCCATCCTTGACCCCTCTCTGTACCTGCCCCACTCCCGGGGAGGCTGCCCCGGCCCTGGGTGTGTGGGTGCTGACGGTTGATGGGATGGAGGGGTCCCCAGGGTGCTGCCCACCGGGGTTCAGTGTGCTGCTGCAGTTCATCCCTGGGGARGTGGCAGGGCAGCACTGCACCTCGTAGAGGAAGAAGTTGAAGAAGTCAGCGAGTGGTGGCTGCCATGACACACAGAGCTGCCCCGCAGCCCCAGCCCAGCGGGCYGTGATGTTTGCTGGGGGGGCAATGAGACCTGCAGGGAACATGCCAGGGTGTTTGCCCTCCTGCGGCAGCCAGTGCGGGCAATCCCTTGTCCCTCTGGGGGACACCTGGAGCGTGGCCCCCAAGGCTGCCTCTGCCCAGCACGCAGGGCCATGGGTGTTGCCAGCCCCCRTGGTGGGCACAAGATCAGGGTACCCACGTCTGGGGACTGTCCTGTTRTCACAGGGTACTGCCCAGTCAGAGGGACTCACCGACTGCGTCCACACTGAGCTCCCGCTGATACTTGGTGTGGTTTGTGGTGGCATTCAGGACTCGGAGGTGGAGCTGGGTGAAGAGCCGCACGTCCTGGCTGGGGAAGACGCAGACATGGCGCCTCCTGCCAGCCCCATGGTGCCATGTGGAGACCACACACGCTGTGGGCCTATTGCTGAGGAATGGAGAGGGGGGTCTTGCAGCACCTCACACCTCCTGCCTTGGGCCAGGCTTGAGGAGAGGGAGTGTGGGGCACAGCACTGAGACCTCGGTGTCACCAGCTCCTTTCCTGTGCCACCATCCACTGCAGGGTGCCATCTCCACGGGACTGAGGGACAGCCAAGGCCCCAGCCCTGCTGCAGGGTGTGAAGTGGCTGCTGTGTAGCTCTCCATCTCTCCTTGCAGCTAGGAAGCCACTGGGATGGCACAGATTGCTCTGACACCCCAATCCTGCTGCTGTCTGTGCAGTAAGAAGGCTGGGCTGTGTCCCCACCATCTCCTACCTGCTATACCAGTAGTAGAAGTGGCTCATCCCCGTTGTTGTCTCCTCCTCGTCCCAGAAGCAGGTGAGGTCCTCGAAGGAGCGGGAGAAACAGAGGATGTCCTTGGACACCCCKGCTAGCAGTGCAGCGTCTGGGAGGAGTGCGGGCATGAAGGAGCTCCRGGCACAAACCTGTTCCCATCCCACCTGCTTCTTCCCACCCCATTCCCGCTGGCACCCGGGGCACCCTGAGTGTGGCTGTGGCACAGGTGCTCTCCAGCAGCTGGGCACACCGTGCAGGGACACTGCACATGTGCTGGCTGCTGGCTGCACTGCGGTCCTGGCTGGTGCAGGGCTCCCCCCCGGCCCCACTGCACCCCCTCCTCAGTACAGGAGGTCCTTGAGGACAAACAAACATCCCGAAATAGCCCTGTGGTCGGAGGGGAGCTCAGGGCACAGCGATCAGGGGGAAGCACCCCTGCCCTGCTCATGCCGGAAGGTGCACGGAAGTGAGATAAGGAGGAGCAGCACCCCAGGGAGAGGGAAAGGCCTCGGGGCTGCTGTGGGGGGCGTGTGGTCCTGAGCAGGGGGCATGCCCAACCCCTGCCAGGGACTGCTATGGGGCTGTGGGTTTCTCTGCCCCCCTCAGTGAGCCATGCTCCCTGTCATTGCATGGACAAGCTGGAGCAGCACACCCTGCAGGATCYCCATTCGAAGCGCTGGTGGAGCTGCTGACATGGGTGCTGCCCCTGTTGTCATGGGAGAGGGGACAGCCCCAAGATGCAGATGTGTGATGCACRGGGGTGGTCAGCACTGCCTCAGCAGTCCCTTCTTCCCCCCTCCCTCTGCCCTGGGAGCTGCTCCAGCCCTCTTTCTTCTTCTCTTCCTGCTGGCATTTGCTGCCTTCCCCAGGGGTTGCTCCCAGCTTTGGGACCCCACAAGCCCRCTGCCAATGTCTGCTCCATTTGCTGAGTGTTTCCACTCTTTGCTACACACCCACCACGCTGCCAGCAGTGCATTGGGCCCATCCTGGGCAAAGAATATGTCACAGTTCCCAAATGTCCTTGCCACGTTCTTGGTGTCCTGCTTGCCCTGTCCCTTCTCTTGTCCTAACTCCCCCAGCTCTGTTCCTCATTTTCCAGCTCGGTGTTGCCCTCTTTCCCCCCACCTTTGTCCCATCTCCCCCACAGCCCCCCATCTGTTCTTCCCTTTTGCCCTCATTAGCCCACCCAGGCCTCTTGCTGGCTCTGTGACCTCACCCAGCTCCAAGCACCAGGAGATGAAGTGGCCAGGTCCCAGCAGGTTGGTGACACAGGGACTCATGGCATTGGTGGGAGGCCACCCTGGTCCTGTGGGCTACCAGAGMACTTTTGCTGAGCACAGGCCATTTCCTAGGAAGGGCAATTGCCCAGCTCTGCAGCCACAGCAGCCRTGCTCGGGCAGTGCTGCCAAGCCAGCAGAGGGCTCAAGGTGCAGCGATTTTACAGAGGCTGTGGGCAGAGAAATGAGCCCTACCCTGACCCTCGTCCCACTGTCCCCATAGGGGTGACTCAAAATGTGCTCCTGAGCCTRCCCTGGCCAGGAACTTGTTGTGGGGCTAGAGAAACAAGCAGGAGATTAACAGGGTTTTATTCAATTAATGCTTTTTATGGTGCTACAGAAAGTGTTAAAGGGGCYAAAGAGACACTCAGAGAATGCATGGAGAAGCCTGAAATGAGACAAAGCTGGGGAGTGGCTCTGGCAGGTGCAGTGAGSCACACTGGGGGTGGCTATCGATAAGATGAGGATGCCCAGCAGGACAGTAAATCGTGGCAAGGCTTGTGCAGGAGCACTGGAAGGGCCTGGAGGGGCCACTGCATTACCTGTGCCAGATGCTGGGTTTTGCTCAAACCCCCATCACATCAGAACTCCCTGAACTTCTGATGAGCGGGGAGCACCTCTRCTTCCTGAGCAGGACTATGAACGCCAGGCTGCCACTCCCAAGGGCCACCCTGGGGCTGCCAAGCTCTGCTTGCAGAGAGCAGYGATGTTCCTTTACTCCAAGCATCTCGGGGTGTCCCACAGGTGAGAAGGGCACTCCACTGCTTGCCCTGAACACCCCCTGCACACGCTCCTGGAATGCCCCTTTCCCAGTCCTTAGATGTTGGCTGCTGCGAGGTGCCCGCTGCCCACACCTGCCATTCTAGCTCCTCTCTAACCCATCTTTTGGGGAAGAAAATAGCCCCAAGTACCTACCTTGGGATGTCACTGGCTCAGGAGCTGATGGTGGGCTGCGGAGGCTGAGCAGGATGGCAGGGAGCAGTGAGAGCTGCCAGCCCTGGCACAGGCAGGCTGCCATCCTGCAACCTGTGTGCCGGGCTACACGTGYGGCACTCGGCCCTTCCCAGTGTCCCGGGAGTGCTGTGGCTCCTCCGGGTGATACCTTTATCTGGGAAGTGGTGGCTGTGCAGCTCAGGAAGCCTGGCTGGGGGCTCCCCCCGCCCCATCACCAGCACTTCCCTGTGCCTGAAACCACTATGCCACAGCCCCTCTGCCGCCGGCCGCAGTGCCAAGAGAGACTGCTCCTATCAGATAGGCGGCATGTCCTGCCCTTGTGGCTACTGGCACGCAGGGAGGATGGGGTGGGAAGAAAAACAACCCCCGAAAAACCAGGAGGCCCCTGTGTGGGGCAGAGCAGGCTGCTGGAGCTGCTGCCACATGGGAGCATGGGACATGGGACAACTGCTCTGCCTCTGTCRTGTCCTGCCAGCAGTGCCGTCTCCGTGGCTGTGCTGGGAGCAGCTGCGGGCACTGGGGGCACTGGCAGAGCCCACAGAGGTGCCAGTGGTAGTCGTGCAGGAGTGGGGCCACCCAAGTGAGGTCCCACAGTCATGCTCAACTTGTGCCAATCCACCAGCTCCGCTTGCCACAGGTGGCCGGAGGGTCTCCCACCCTGGCAGGGCACAGCACCATTGCACAGCTCAGGGGCCACCAGCCAGGCAAAAGGAGCTATTTGCACATGAGCCCCCAGTGCACCAAGGCTTCTTCATGCCCAGCAGCTGGGGATAGCAGCAGAGACACCGAGGGCTACAAGAGCAGCCAGCCTCAACCACACACAAATTTTGTCTTAAAAAGCAGAAAGCACTTGGTGTGAGCAGGACTGGTGACTACTCTAGACACCRTTCCCAGCTGGGAGCAGAGGAGGTGCAGAGGTGGTGGCACATGTCAGGCTGTTTGTGAGGGCCAGTCCCCACCACTGGTTCACTGGGACCTCAGGGATGGGACAGAGAGGCTGGTTGCTAAGCTGCAGTTAATGCCAAAGAGCACTGGAGGCCAGAATGGAAAATCAGAATGAAATTTTCAGGGTTCAAAGATATTCCAGGGATAAAAGACTCTTGCCCTCAGAAGGACAATGCAAATGCCCCTGTCTCTGGCTGGGATACCAGGCTCTGCAGGAGCTGCTCTTGCTGCTTATGGGACTGCAGAAGATGGATGGACAGGCAGCTGGATGGCATGTTCAGGGCTGAGCCAGCTGAAGCCAGCAGAGGGAAAGCCCAGCCAGTGTCAGGGTAACAAACAGCAGCAGTGCAGGTGAGGAACCAAAGCCTGGGACAGGAGCTCCTGCCAGAGTGTCAGTGCAGAGCCCAGGTGACCCTTTAGGGGTGGGAACGTGAGGATCAGCCTGGCAGCACACATTGGAGCAGGCTGGTCAAACACAGCCGTCACTTTGCCAGATGTGGGAAGCTACCTGATGGCTTGGCACAGTGCTGGGAGGTGCCAGCTGGCCAGGGTGGGAAGGGTGTGGAGCTGCCCATCTCCACAGGACCCAGCAGGAGGAGCAGGGCCATCCCTGTGAAGAGCAGCCAACCAAGGGGAAGGAACGATTTTCAAGCATGCAAGAGGCAGCTGTGCAGAAGAAGGACATAGTCTGTTCTCCATATCCCTTTGGGGATGGAACCAAGTCTTAAATTGTGTGTGTGGGAGGAGATCCCAGTTGGATCCTAAGAAAATCCATCTCCATGGCATGATGAGACCTGGGACTTGTCTGGGGATGCTGGGACATTCCTGAGGCTCCTGGAGAACAGGATTTTGAGGAGTGTCCACTACAGCAGCAGATCACTGGCCCCCCACATCCTGTTCCCCAGTGCTGTCAGCAGGGCAGAGCTGGCTCCCCATCAACACTCTCTGGACCCGGCTGTTGCATGATCTTTATTGTCCTTAAGGCAGAGCTGACACCTCCGAAGGGCTGCTGCAGAGCTGGAGGCCGTGTAGAGCCAACACTGTCCCTTGGCATGTGCTGAGGTGGCCCCATCCTATGCTGGCAGCGCTGCTCACAGCCCCCTGGCACTGCTTCAGGCCCAGAGCACGCTGAGAGCTAGAGGGGCAGGCAGCTACTGTGTTGCTGTTTCCTCCTCCTGCCCCAGAGCTTGAGCATTKTTGTCCGTGGGCTTAGACAGGGCCCTGGCTCCTGTGGGAGGCCCTCTCCTGTCTGCTGTGCTGCAAACACCCTGCTGCTGCTTGTCCTTGGGGGCCATCCCAGCATATCCTCCAGCAGTGTGGTGCCGTCGGTGAGTGGCACCATGCCAGGAAGGGGAAGGCACTGTCCTGCTGCGGGGAAGGCACTTTTGGGAAGGGGCACCGGCATGGCTGCTTGGCCCTGGAGCAGGATGAGCAGCCTCTTGTCCCCACAGCACTGTTCCAGCAGGCTGGGGCCAGCATTGCCCCTCTGAGCGGTGCCAGCACAGCCTCATGCCTCCTCGGCAGTGGCATCAATCCCTGCGTAGGTGAAGTTCTCAAACAGGGCCATGTTCACATAGGCCTGTGGGGGAATACCAGTTTATGAGCCAGCTGGGAGCGTTTCCAAATTTATCTCCCATCCTCACTAGAATGCTCATGAATACCGTGCTCTATTGCCTCCCCGCACCCAAAAGGTTACCCCCACGCATGKTTCTGGTGCTGGCTGTCCCCTCCTCAAGCCCAGGGGATGCTCTGGCATGTGGTAAAGCCCCGTGCAGGGCATCCCTCCCACCGAGCCGCTGCCACTCACCTTCCTGGCCTCCAGCATGCGGATGAGCTGCATGGAGATCTGGGCGAAGGGAGGGCGCTCGTAGGGGCGGTCGCGCCAGCACTGCCGCATCAGCTCGTACCTGGGGGAGGAGAGTTGTGGCGGCTCAGTGCGTACAGGAGGAAAGGGGACAGAAAAGCTCTTTGTGGGAGACAGGGGAAGCAGGCGGGAAACTAAGGCCCAGGAAAGGTGTCTGGGGGGTGAGACCCCAGCCTGTMCCTCAGCCACAAGGCAGAGGGAACCAGGCAGAAGCTACTGAAAGTTGGTGTGAGCCCTGTGGGGCAGAGGGTTCAGCAGGATGTGGTGCCACCATCACCCGAGGCTCTGTTCACTTACACCTCGTCATCGCAGTTGCGCGGCTTCTCCATGCGGTATCCCTGCGGCAGCTTCTCATAGAGCTCGGCACATGTCATCCCRCAGTATGGTGTCCCCCCTACAGCCAGAGACACGCAGGGACTGAGGAGGTGACAGTCCCCAGAGTGTCCCCTCCAAGACTCCAGGATAGCCAGACCTGCAGGGACCTGAGAAAAGGCAGGAGGCAGAGAAGAGCCTTACCCAAGCTGACGATCTCCCAGAGCAGGACACCRAATGACCACCTGGAAGGAGAGGAGCCAAGGCTGTGACAAGTGCCCAGCTGTGCCCCACTGATGGGCACAGGGCAAAGCCCAGGGTGGAACAGGCAGCCAGGGTCTAGGCTGAGCCAGCAGCTCCCAGGGAGATGAGCATCACCTCCTGCCCTTGCAGCACCCAGAGCAATAGCAATAGCAATAGCTTTGCTTCTCTGACTGCACCAGAAAGGGGTGGAGGTGGCCACAGCCAGGCCCCAGCCCCGGTAGCCCCCGCTGCAGGACTTACACATCGCTCTTGGTGGTGTACACGCTGTAGTTGAGGGACTCGATGGCCATCCAGCGAACCGGCAAACGGCCCTGGGGAGAGAGAGCCACTGTCAGGGCTGGGGGGATGACTCTTGGGTGGAAGACACTGTGATCCAGCCCATCCTGCCATGGTGGGTCAGTCACACTGCTGGTGGGCATCCTGCCCACCACACTGGTGCCGGCCCCATGGAGATGTTTCACTCCTGCCTCACCATTGTCTTCTTCACATAGACCTCCTCCCCTCTGGAGAGGCCAAAGTCGGCAATTTTGGAGGCCAGGTTTTCTCCCACCAGAATGTTTCTTGCTGCCAGGTCCCTGTGAATGAACTGAAAGGGAAGAGCAGTGAGCAGGAACCACACACTGCATCCTGCTGGCCCCAGGGACCTCATGCCCTGGTGGGGAGCCCCCGCGGGGAAGGGTGCTCTGAGGGGCATGCCGGGAGGTACCTGCTTCTCACTCAGGTACTGCATCCCCTTGGCCACATCTGAAGCAAACTGGAGGAGCTGCTGGGATGTGAGGGTGGAGGCAGTGCCATGCTCCTTGGCAAAGGCTGGGTCTGTCTCCAAGACTCGGCTTTTGCGGAGGAAGTCAAGGAGGTTTCCATATGGAGCGTACTCAATGGCGATGTACAGGTAGCCTRGGGGTAGCAGGAGATTGGGCTCCTGGGACTCTCCCCAGCACAAAGGAGCTCTCCCCACACAGCTGGGCAGAGGCTGTGGGGCTGGGGAATGATGGGACAGCCCTCACCCTTGTTCTCGCAGGCACCCAGCAAGTTGATGATGTTGGGGTGATGGCCCAGTTTGCACAGCACCTCCAGCTCCCCAGCAAAGTCACGGTGGTCATTCTCTGAAGCAAACTCTGGAAGCAAAGAAGGGATGCACACCTCAGGTCTTCAACAAGGGCCTTTCCTCTGTCTGCAAATGACTCCTGATGGTCCCCAGCACAAGCATGGCCCAGGACACAGCTGCAGCCCTCAGCACACCCTGCCTGCCTCCCCCAGCACTCACCTTTCAGCATCTTGATAGCCGCATTCATTTTCAGGCCGTCCTTTTTGATCATGGCCCTGATTACCTGCCCGAAGTTGCCCTCCCCGATCATGTCCTCAAATTTGATGTCTTCCCACTCCAGGATGGGGTAGCTGAGGGGCTCAGGCTGTGGCTTGGGGCGGCGGGTCAGGGTCAGGGTCCCCGAGTTGAACTGCAGGATGGTCTCTTCCCCCTGGTGATGCAAGCGGGTGAGGTTAAAGGCACCGGGACCCTCTCTGGCAGTCCCAGCAGGACAGGRGTCATGGGCAAGGGCGGGCTCCGCACCCTCTCCACGTGGAAGTGAGGTCTGGCTGCATCCGGGCTGGAGGCTATGGAACGTGACCTGGATCGGGCTGGGACGTGGGGAGCAGGGGACACGGTCCTGGTGGGGCAGGCGGCACTCACCGAGCCAGACTGGTACGTAAAGGTGCGGCGCCGGTGGAAAAAGTTCTTCTTGATGAGGAAAAGTGCCAGGAGAGCAAAGAGGATGGTGAAGCAAGTGACGGACACAGAGCCAACAATGGCCAAGAGCAGCTGCTGGTCTGTTCCTGCCTGCTCAGTGCTCTGACTGCCCAGGCTGGGCGGCACRCTCAGCGCTCCTGCCAAAAGGAGGGATGGAGGGTTGTGGTCCATGGTGGAGCCCTGCCCAGCCTGCATGAGTGGCCAAGCACCATGACAGCAGTCCTCTCTCAGCCAGGCCCCCAGAGAAGATAGCACAACCACACCCACAGCTCCTGGTGCCACAGTGGCACAGAGCGGATAGTGTCACAGTGCAGCTTCTGACACTGAATCATTGGCTTCTGGACCTCCAAACAGCTTTGGGTCAAGCCATAAGCTCCTCCCATGCTGGCTCTGCTCCTCCCATGCTGGCTCTGCTCTGCTCCTCTAGCCCCTCGATTCACATGCCCCTCTGGCCAAGGCAGAGCCACTGTGTAGCTGCCATGCTGTCATCACACCATCCCTGCCCCTTTAACACTAGGAGGAACAGGTTTTCTTAAGACACCAACAGTTTTGGTCTTGGGCTGCTGCTTCAGAGCCACTCTCAGAAGTTACCACAAGCACCTCAATCATTCTTTGCTGACCCAGATTCCAAGCCCAAGCTGCAGCAGAGCTGTGAGTCCCCTGCCTGCTGGACACCCCTCTCACCGTCCCCCAGGGTCCTGGCTTTCACAGGCTGGCTCCATTCCCCTGGGACATGGGAGTTGGCGCGGACACGAAACTGGTAGCTGGTGCTGGCGTTGAGGCCCCCAACAATCTTGGTGGTCTCGGCGCCGCTATCGGTGTCGATCCACTGGGGTTCACTGGTGCCCCCCACCTGCTGCAGCTCCACGATGTATTTGGTGATGCCCCCGTTGGGGTACTCGGGCACCTGCCAGGACAGCCTGACAGCAGTGTCTGACACAGGCTCTGCTGAGAGCGACTGCGGGGAGGACGGCCCTRGGACAAGGAGAAGAGAGTGTCAGTCCCAGGATGGGGCTCCTGGTGCTGCAGGGGCTCAGTGCTGCTGTGAGGATGGCAATGGCAACCAGAGCCAGGACAGCTTTGAGGGACTCCAGGGACCCCTGGCCCCTGCTGGGAGGAGGTGGAGCTGCTCTCCATGTACCACAGTGAAACAGGACTGTATCCCCAAATGTTCCCAGCCACAGAGACCAAGTGAGGCCTAGATGCCTGCATATTGAGTAGCTCTTGGGACATTTTATTTCTTCAGGCCTCCCTCACACACTGTGTTCCTTCTACCTCCTCTGAGCCCTCTCCTGCCTGCCAACATCCCTTACCCCAAATCATACAAAGCTCTTACAAGCAGAGAGCAGAGGAAACCTCTCATCCCTCAAGCCTGATGCCTACCAGTCCTCTCAATGGGTACCAGCTGGTGCCAAGCCCCGCCAAAGGCCTCATGCATACCTTTCCCCTTGGCTGCCAGAAAGCTTGGTCAGGCTGGTGCTCCACCTCCCCTTGGTCTTCCACCTACTTCAGGGGCTGTGTGCATGTGTGTGTGTGTGTGCCCACAGATGGGACAGCAGGGCTCCCCAGGTCCTAGCAACCACCCAGCAAAATTACCTGGCAGCAGGGTTAAAGCAAACCAAAGGGAAATATTTTTTTCATGCAGAGTATAATGATATCGAGAAACTTGTTGCTACAGGGTACTCTAAAGGCTGCCAAGTATAGACAGGTCCATCAGGGTTTGGGCAAGGATGCAGARGACTGATCTGTTTGTGAGCATCACTTGTGATGGTCTGAATGTCACACTGGGATTACGATATTTCTCAGCTGCTCGGTGCTGGAAGCTGCAGGRTCTAGTGAGGAAAGGAGGACCCACTTTCCCCAAAAAGTTGTTCATGTTCCATCAGAAAGGGAATACAGGAGCAGCTGGACCTGGGGATGGTTGCTGCTACAACTATAACTGATCTGTCATTGTAATTCCCTGTTGTAATTCCCTGTGTTCTGCTGGACCCACCTTTGCTGTTGATCATGACCTTGTAGGGGTCAGAGGGTGGCCCCAGGCTGGTGCAGTGGTACACCAGCACCTCCAGCCTGTATTCCTTGTTAAACTCCAGGCCCCCAATGCGGGCAGAGAGCACCGAGATGGAGGTGATGTTCTTCTCAGAGACCAGCCGCCTTGCAGAGTCAAAGAGGCGAACAATGAACCCATGTGCTGGCTCGTGGTTACTTGGCAACTTCCAGTTGACATGAAGCATGTTTTTCTCTTCTATCGACCAGCCTTCAATCACAGGCTTGACTGTGGGCTCTGCAAACAAAAAGGCAGCAAAACATCACATTGCATCAGCTGTGGGACTTTGCAGGCTCTGTGCTGGGCAGGGTCAGGGTCAGGGAGATGGAGGCTCACCAAGGCAGTCGGTCACCATGATGGCTTCGGGCCCTTTGCTGCCCTCCCCAGCAGCCCCTGGCCGGCTCAGCTGCACCTTGACGATGTAGGCAGTCACTGGGCGGAGGTTCATGAGGGTGATGTTCTCACTGTTGTCAACTGTTGGTCAAGAGGACATGTTGAAACCATGTCCATTATCCATAGTCTGCCCTGCGACCAGCATGCTCCTCAGCATCACCACGGGGGGCTTGGTATGGAGACATCTGTCCACCCCAGGCCTCACCCTTCTCACACAGGTGCCCCCCAGCCCTGCACATACCCACAATGGATGACCACGCCGAATTGTCATCCTTGGGCTTGTAGAAGAGCTTGATGGAGGTGATAGGTCCATCACCAGAGAAGCAGTCCACGGGCGACACCACAAGCTGGCGACTCTGCTTGGCCAAGAGCCGAGGCGGGCTCAGGGGCACTGGTGGCACTTGAGGGGAAGAAAGGAATGACACTGGTGGGACTGGGAGCAGCAAGGAGCAGAGCACAGATACATCTGCCACCTCTTGGCTCCTTCCAGCTTTGTCAGGAAAGTCTTTTATAGTCACCCAAACCTGTCTGATGGCAATGCAGCCCGTCATGGGAGGCACCCAGTCAGGGCTGGTATTGCCACACCATGCTGTCAGCCTCCCCCAGCAGCCCTGGTTTGTCCTGTTCGTGCCACCACACTTTCCTCACCTCGGATATTGACCTTGACTTTCCGGCTATCCTGGCCCCCGGTGGTGGAGACCCGGCACTCCCAGAGCCCCGTGTCTGCCTTTGTCAGGTGCCGCACCTCGAACTCGCAGGTGATCTGCTTCGGCTCGATGATGGTTTTGATGAGCTGTGGCATGGAGAGTGCTGTCAGCCCCTCCACTCAGCCCCTGGCTCAGCCCCCCTGTCAGTCTGAGGCTGCCCAGGTGCTCTTGGGGGAGCTGGTAACATGGAGATGGTGGTGGGGCAAGGTCACGGGGCAGTACCTTGAGCACAGTGCCATCAGCCTTGCGCAGCTCCACACTGTTCCTGGTGGGCAGCGGGTTGCCAATGGCCACGCAGCTGACGATGGGCTCTGAGCCCACATTGAATTCCAGCTCTGAGGCCAGTTGGATGATCTGGGGGAACCGTTCTGGTACACAGAAATCAACATTAGGGCTGGCCCTGCTCTTCCCTAGGCACAAGAAAGGCTGGCATATTTCCCTGGACCCAGATGCAGCCAGACTGTGGTGCCAAGGAAAAGGTGATGGATGCTGCTGTCCAGCCCTGATCCCCACCCCACATGCTGGGCTTAACAGATAATGCTGGGATGTCAGATCAGATGTTGCCCTTGCAATACTCTGGTTTCCACAGAGGGGGAGGCTATTTCTGCAGCAAGRGGTCCTGCTAACCAGCTGGTGAGACTGATAGCCAGTGGCCCTCCCAGCCACCACTGAGGAATGAGCTAGACCTCTGCTTGAGGGGGAGAATGGAGACCCACCACAGCCCCCTGCCAGCCTCACCTGACTTCTCACAGTGCTGCCCATGCCAGCCTGCGGGACAGACACAGCCACTGAAGCGGTTACAGCTGCCTCCATTTTGGCAGGTGCACTCCAGGGCACAGTCGGGGCCATAGAATCCTGGGGGACAGGCTGTGGGAAGAGGAGAGCTTACTGCTATCCCTGGCCATAGCACCATGGAGACAGAGATGGCAAGCAGCTGATGCAGGCAGCAGTGCTGCTCAACCTGTGCCGACCCTCARACAGGGAGAGGTTTGCACAGGGGCTGCTGTAGAGCAGCCAGGCCCTGSAGGAAGCCCAGGCTGGGTGGGAAAGCCAACCAATAGCCATGTCCCTGTACCTTGGTCACAGCGGGAGCCACTCCAGCCCGAGGCACAGGAGCAGCCATAGGGGTCCARCAGGCAGAAGCTCAGCCCCTGGCAGCCTTGGGCTCCCTGGCACGTCTCCTGGCAGTTGCGACCAAACTGGCCTTCCTGRCAGGCTGGAAAAAGAAGCATGGTCTGCCCTCACCCACCATTCATCCATACACTGCTTGTGCATGGCACAGAGCTGGCTTGGATGCCCCAAAACTTGTATCACCACCTTGAGGAGACATGGGGCCCCTGTGGGTGGTCCAGCCCTGGTCCAGAAACAGAGGGCACTGTSGGTGGGGAGGTGCTGGGGATGAACATGGCATTTCTAGACACAGTGCTCGGGTCTGGGGATGCGACAGAGCCCCCATATATGCTCTGGGCACAGCACCAAGGGCTGGGCAGGTGGCACCCACCTCTCTCGCAGCGGGTGCCCATGAACCCTGGAGGGCAGATGCATTCGCCAACGTGGTCATGGCAGATGCCACCATTCAGACAGTCAGGACAGTCCTTCTCACAGGATGGTCCCCATTTCTTTGCAGGGCAGGCTGCAGAGAGAGCAGAGGGGGCCAGAGTGGCACCAGGCTGCAGGGCAGGGTATGGCTGGCTGTCCCCACTCCTCAGGACACGGGGCCCTGCTCACCTCTCACGATGAGGCGGTAGAAGGCACTCCACAGAGGGCTGTCCCCCATAAACGTGGCACTGTAGACGCCATTTTCATTGACACTGACATTGGGGAGTGTCAGGGTGACATGGTCATTCTGTACCTCCCCCCGGTCCGTGGTCTGGTAGTAGGTGCCTGCAAAGGGACAGAGGATTATCTCTGACYTCCCATACACTCAGGACCAATGCCAGGCACCAGGTGGGAGCAGCTCCAGCCCTGTGCCTGATCTTGGGACTACTTGCCATTTCTTTTCCACATAACATCTGTCTCCTTCCTCTTGAGGATCCTGGCAGAGAAGGTGGCTGCCTCGGCAACATTCACAGACTGTGTGGCCTTCACCGGGAAGAGGTGGGCTGCAGAGGAGAAGGARAAGGAACAGGTTGCACAGCAGTTGCCCCCAAGGGCACTCACCCCCAAAGGCAGGGCTCATACCCTCAGAACAGTCACAACAGGACACATCCTGGAACAGCCCAGCACCCACCATGTTTCTGCTGCAATGTAATGACACATCTCCCTGTCAGCTCCATGTTGGACCCAGGACCCCTCAAGCCTCTGCAGGGACAGGGCTCCCTTCCTGACCCCTTCAGCCCCTTCAGGCAGACACCAAGGAATGGGATGTGGCACCCTGCCCTCTGACCAGCCCGCCAGCTGCACGGGATGCTGGTGGCAGCAGTCTGGAGCGGTGACATCTGGGACAAGTGTGCATGGTGCACCCTGCCTGCTGCCGGYTGGGGAGGTGTGGAACACTGCAGGCAGGGACAGCAGGGCAGGYGAAGGGAATTAAGTGTGCAGGAAGCTGCACTCCAGCCCCCAGGCCCAACAGCCCAGTCATGGCTGTTTTCCTGACTCCCCAGGTGCTGGGGAATGCAGCAGCAATGAACTCCCGCAGTATCAATGTGAGTCAGCCAGACCCCAGCCTGAGCACAAATCGGGCTATAAATACCTTAAGGCCTGGGAAACCAAGCCCTGGGCGTGCCAGGACAGACACAAAGGAGGACACAGGCGGCTGCTGGCTTTCRCAGCCTGGCAGCACTCCAGCCTGCACACACTAAAAGGAGCCACGCCAGCTTGGAGCTAAAACACATCCAGCCCTGTGTCCTGCCCCTCTGAGGCCAAGGACCAGGAGGAAGCAGCACACGCCGCAGACGCCCAGGGAAGGGCAACGCAGGTCATGCTTTGCAGCAATTACCCACAATCGCCTCCCCACCTATCCCTCTTGTTGGGATCTTTCTTCCACGGACTTTGCATGCCCTTGCGGAGGGTTCACAAATATGGCCCTCATTCTGTGTCACTCCACCTCATTCCCTGGCTCCCTGGGGAGTCCCAACACGCTTTGTATTTGCATACACTGATTTACCTCTCACTCCATCACTGCAGGCTTCCCAGAGTGCATCTCACCCCCGTTTCTCTGTCATTCCATAGTGCATCCATCATCCCCCCAGACAGCTTGGGGACAGCAGCCAGCACAGATGCTTGTTCAGCTCTTTGAACCCACAGCTGGTGACACAAGCCCATGCAGAGACCTTGTGCCATGCCAGTGGGAACTCCTTCGTGTGACCACTCCTATCCCTGCTCTCCCTTCCTTTAGTCAGTGATTCACCCATGCAAAGATCTCTCCTCCACCCCTGGGTGCAAAGTTTGTCTCAAAGAACCTTTGAAAGGGAGTTTTCCCAGTTTTCTCCAGGAATCCAAACAGACAGTGTCCATTTAGTCTTTCACAGCACCCTTACTGCTGTTACCCCAGGGACTCCCCACAGCAAACTCAGCTGTCTTTATCTCAGGGACCATGTAACAACAAATTCTGCTCTTTATTACAGTTTCTGCWAATTTGCTGGGTTCTAACCTGTGTTTTCAGGCCTGTAACTCCCTACCCAGAAGGTTTYAGGATAGTCTGGTGTCCCAGGGGCAGTGGCACAGCCTTGCTCACCACACAGCCAGCCTGGTGATGTTGCACTGCTCCRTTCTGCTATTTATCGCCTGTCTCCTGCTATCAACACTGGCATTTTAGACAGATGCCCCAGCAAGTTTTCCCAACTTTTCTGTTATGCACATAGATACAAAAATAAAAGAATTTTGGTTTTCTATAATTGTTTTTCTGGGTGTCTTTCTGCTCTGAATAGTGTGAAAGATAGTTTATTGCCAGATTTAAACACTTCTGAAATTGCTAGTCAGGATGTCTTTGGTTTGCTTTACTTTGTTTTTTTTAGCAATGCTTCCAAAATTTATCAAACTTCCTAAATTCTTCTCCATGTATGACCTTTTGGAAACTGCCAGCTTTCCTCTAACAGCATTCTCCACCCACTGTTCCATCACCCTGGCCTGTTTTGCTGCCCTCTCAGGCTAAACCAGAGAGATGACACACACCAAGCCCCTGCAGTGGGTTCTGTATCCAGCCCTCCTATCCCCTGCGAACACGTAATTTCCTTGCTTAGTATTTCTTTAATTTTTTTAACAGAAATCATGGAAAAATTCAGTCCTTATAGTTTTGCAAAGTCTCAGAAAGAAGGAGTGGAGATCAGAGGGGCAGCGTGGGAGAGTGCTGCCCCAGGTGTTATCTCTGCTGCTGGTCAACCCAGGGAGGCCCTTTCAATTTTTGTGGCCCAAAATGGGAGAGGGAGATGTGCCCATCACTGCTCTTATTTACAGTGCTGCCCAGGGATGGTATTTGTCCAGCACCTGGAGAGGCTGCCAAAGATCTGCCCCAGCACTACCTCCTCCCCTTGAGCCTGTGGTGGGGGCATGGGCTGGCACAGCTCTGAAGGGCTGCCCCCTGCTCTGGTTAATGATTTCCAGACCCCACAACCTCCTCCAAGGGCACTCAACTTCCTCTTGGACCTTGCCCTTCTCCCAGGCACCATTACAAATCCAGACAGCTCCTCTGGGAGGCTTGGCCATGCTCCTCCAGCTGAACATCCCTTCCATCTCCCTTCCATCTCCACCCCACCAGTGCTGGTRGACCACAAACCTAGCCTGTGGGTCACCACTGTCCCCCCACCACCCCAGCTGATGCGGGGATTGCGAAGCACAGGGCAGGCACCTTCCCCACGCACCCTCTGCCCCCAGCAGCCACTCACCATTGTGGCTGTTGTGCACATAGACCACCTGGGCCTGCTCTGTCGGGGTGCGTGCCAGGCAGTAGAGGATCCCCACCAGGTCAGCCTTGGAGAAGCCCCTGGCCTGGACTTGGTTGTTGTGGTTGCGGTAGTTTTGGAAGCCCATTTTGGGGTGYGTCATCACGATCTTGTTTTCCCGCTCGATCTGCAGGTAGCTGACATCGCGCTCGCCCACGATGCAGGAGAGGAAGAAGTCGGAGTGGGACAGGCTCTGCACGTTGGCGATCAAGGTGATGTCCAGGATGGCCCCTGGGGTGGGGGAGCACGAGAGCGCGTCACAGCTGGACAACAGCATGGCCGCAGCAGCTCTGCCTCAGGGCTAGACCCTGTCACACAGATGTTCTCCCCTTTCCAGGGCTTTTTTGCCACCCCCAGCCCAGAAGGCACAGCCAGGGCACAGCAAGGTTCACTGCAGACCCATTGGGATGACATAGGGGCCATTTCCACTCTCCTTTTGGAGTCCCAACTCGATCAGCTCCCCAACATGAGCCCAGCATGCACCAGAGCAGCGGTCTTGGGGGGCCTCTCCTCYCATGGCAGGGAGAGGCAGCCAGGGGCCTCTGAGAGCTCCAAATGGCTGACCACAAAGGGATACTTCCTCCCTCCCAACCCCGATCCGATGGCGCCACTGGGCTCCCACAGCTGCCTTGTCCCACCGAGCCACCCTGAGGCAGGGGCTGCTCACTTGGGGCAGAGAAAAAGGGGCGATTTACCTGCCAGGCGTGGGAAGAGAAGTAGGAGATAAACCTGGAGTCCCATGTCCTTGGAGCTTGTTCCAAATCTGGCAGAGGTCAGAAAATCCCCCGCATTTCCCGGCTAYGGGGATCAGAGCTGGAGGCTGTGGCTGCCTAGAAGCTCCACGTGAGCGGCAGCTCAGGACCCCTGCTCGCTGCCTGCGCCCTCCATCTCTTCTCCATGCTGCTGCTTGACTTCCAGGGCAGCCGGGACCACCTCCTCTGGTGCATAGCCTGGGCACAGACAGAGAGATGCCCCCGTTCCTGCTGGCTCAGGAGCAGGGCTTGCTGGCCGAGTGGTCACTGGGGTCCCCTGCCTGGTGGCTGCTCATGCAGGGAAAGGCACCCACCCACTCCTCCAGGGCTAGGGCTTCATGCTCAGGGGGTMCTGAGCCATGCTGAGCCCCCAGCCCGGGCAGGAGGTGTCCCGACCCWGCTTTTTGTCCAAGGCTCAGAGTGCCTCACGCCCCAGCCCGCCCGGGCGGCGGCATCCCCATCCCCTCGCTGCAGCCCCGCGGCCGATGGCTGTGGGAAGGGTTCTCTGGAGCAGGGAAAGGAAAGGGGCCAAGGGGCCGTGGCTGGCGACGGCGGCGGAGCCAAATCCTGTTTCCCATGCGGCGTTTCCTGCTCTCCACCCATTGTTTGGAGCCGGCCCTGACTCCGGGAGCCGTCGGGAGCAGCCCTGCACAGGCTGTCCCCCGGGGAGCGGCGTGCGGCGGGGCTGAGGCCCTGCACACCTCCCACACCTCGGCCTGCCGCCGCCACGAGCCGGGGTGCGAGGAGGGCACACCCGTGTGAGGAGGGC